CGGTTGGGTTAAATGTTTAACCCAACCTTCTGGGTAGTAACCCAACTGCTGGGTCAAAACAACCCAATTGCTGGGTTTGTCCCTATTTTACCCAGCACTGGGTTGTATTTAACCCAGCATTTTTTAGAGTGCGGTAGTGTGTGATCTTCAGTTTTTCCTGTGTGATTGTTTACAAAGTCGGTAAGTGTATGATGCAGATTTTAAAAGTCATGTAGTGTATTCCAGCCTTTATATTACTGTTAAAGTAGTTTGTACTAGTAGTCTAAAAGTTTGGGGTCAGTATGATTTTTTTGTTTGAAAGAAATTAATACTTTTATTGAGCACAAACTAAGTAAGTTGATCACAAGTGACATTTACAATATTTAAAAAAAGATTATATAAAACAATGTTGTTCTTTTGAACTGTCTATTCATCAAAGAATCCTAAAGAGAAATGTATCAGTTTCTGTAACTGTTTTCAACATTGATACAAATAAGAAATCTTTCTCGAGCATCAAATCAGCATATTAGAATGATTTCTGAAGGATCATGTGACACTGAAGACTGAAAATTCAGCTTTGCCTCACATGAATAAATTACATTTGAAAAAATATTCAGATAGAAAACAATTATTTTTAAATGTAATATGATTTCGCAATATTACTGTTTTTACTGTATTTTGGAGCATAAGAAAATATTCTAAAACATTAAATAATCATGACAACCACAAGCTTTTTAACGGTAGTGTATATTATATTATATATTTTTTTATAAAAATATTTATTTTAAAACATTTAAAATTAATTAACAGTTTGACTTATGTTCTGATTTTGTTTTATTTTATTTTCTCTGTCAAACAAGTCATTCTCACTACTGTTGGCAAATTTTCCATCTTTATCTTTTTAATAACAATTAATGTTACCTTCATAATATGTTCCTGTTTAATTTATTTTTTTTTTTTTTACTTTTACTATACAAGTTAATTCGACAGAATCTGAAAATAACAAACACTTTTTGACATTTACCAGAATAATTCTGACGTTGTTTGTCATCAGATGAATGCCATGCAGTGGGCGAGTGGGGACGCATCTGTGCCGGCGTCTGTATGCAGCCTGCCCTGTCAGACTGGCGAGCGGAAGAAGGTTGTGAAGGGGGTGCCGTGCTGCTGGCACTGCGAGCGCTGCGAGGGCTACCATTACCAGGCCAGCGAATTCACGTGCCAGCTTTGCCCGTATGAGCAACGACCAGATCAAAACCGAACAGGCTGCCAGCCAATCCCCATCATTAAGCTGGAGTGGTACTCGCCGTGGGCTGTAGCACCCGTCTTCATCGCCATCCTGGGAATTCTTGCCACGACCTTTGTGGTGGTGACTTTCGTGCGTCACAACGACACGCCAATCGTACGGGCCTCTGGCAGGGAAATGAGTTACCTGCTGCTAACGGGAATTTTCCTATGCTACGTCATCACGTTTCCCATGATAGCGGCACCTGGATTGGCCGTCTGCTCCTTCCGCAGGATCTTTCTGGGTTTGGGCATGTGTTTCAGCTACGCCGCCTTGCTCACCAAGACCAACCGCATCCATCGGATCTTTGAGCAGGGCAAGAGGTCAGTCGCGGCGCCGCGGTTCATTAGCCCCACCTCCCAGCTAGTCATTATCTTCAGCCTCATCTCAGTTCAGTTAATGGGTGTGTTTGTGTGGTTCGTGGCTGACCCGCCGCACACTGTTGTGGATTACGGCGAGCAGCGCACGCAAGACCCTGAAAACGCACGCGGGGTGCTCAAGTGTGACATCTCAGACCTGTCACTCATCTGCTCACTGGGCTATAGCATCCTTTTGATGGTCACGTGCACTGTTTACGCAATCAAGACCAGGGGAGTGCCGGAGACCTTCAATGAGGCCAAGCCCATTGGATTTACCATGTACACCACCTGCATCATCTGGCTGGCCTTCATTCCCATCTTCTTTGGGACCGCACAATCTGCAGAGCGGGTAAGTCACTAATGTTCAAAAGTGTTTTTTTTTTGTAAAGTGTATGTTTTTGAAGTCTCTTGTTGCTCACCAAGGCTACAGTAAAAACAGTAATATTTGGAAATGTTATTACAATTTAAAATAGCTGTTTTCTATCTATACTTTAATATATTTTAAAATGTAATTTATTTCTGAGATGCAAAGCTGAATTTTCAGCATCATTACAGTCTTCAGTGTCACATGATCCTTCAGAAATTATTCTCAAGAAATATTGCTTGATATTATGAATGTTAAATAATAACAGATATGCTACTTAATGTAAAAAAATCTGGATTATTTGATGAATAGAAATTTCAAACAAATGTCTTCCATATTAAATATAAATCTATTGGAACATAATAAATATCTTTACTGTCATTTTAATGCATCCTTACTGAATAAAAGTATTAATTTCTTTAAAAAAAAAAAGTAACTAATTAACATTAACAATGCCATGCATTTAATTGCAAATTACATTTTTCAGTAGTGTGACAGTAGTTCAGCTTTTGAGTAAGAAGCTGAAAAGCAGTGATAAAAAACAAAACTATTTATATTAATATTATATAAATATAAATTTATATATATATATAATATATTATTATATATATATTATATATAATATATATATATATATATATATATATTTCTTTTCTAAGCTATCTAGCCTATTCATAAAAGGAATACAATTTATATTATATTTGACTTTATTAGACTTTATTATATTAATATAATATGATTATATTATATTATATTATATTATATTGTATTATTGTATTGTATTGCATTGTATTGTATTATTGAACTGTCCTTGTATCTAGAGTTTTGAAACTCCAATTCTCTCTTTTGAATCAGTTTTTTTTTCATGTAAATTAACAAATGAAAAAACATTTCACGAGTCTCTATGTGGCCTTTTAAGTCATCTTTTTTCATGTTCTCGGCCTAATCGTGATCAATTGTGTTCACATAATGTATGTGTTAAATTATTATATTATGTATGCACCTTCAATGCTAGATAATGTAGTATTTTGTTGTTTTCAGTTATATCGCATCCAGTTCTGTTCAGTAGAGTCATTAGGTTATTACAACTTCATATGAATCATCCCTCAATCAGTGCAGGTGCATCTGTATACAGCATTTTATAATAATATATATTGCTATTGTCATTACTGTCATTATCTATCGTTGCATACCTCTCTCTTATTGTTGTGGCAACATGATGAAGTGAACAGATGAGGATCATCTACATCATCTCCTCATTGGCTGTTCCATCAGTACACAGTGCTTGTTAGTCTTTTAGGTCTTTGCATCAAAAACAAGCATTCATCTGAGCGATGCTCATTATCAGATATATGGAGGTGATTAAACATGACCCAGAGGAATAGTGCTGCTGCTGTTAATGGGCCATAAATAGAGTGTGCTGCCTCTGTCGGTCCGTACCAGTGTGGGTCTTATAATGTTGATGACTTCAGTGGTGGTCTGCAGACTGTAGGCTGAACCTTCTGTTCTTTCTGCACCAGGAAGTATTTCTGTCCATTGCTCATTAGTGCTGCCAAAAGAAGCCAGGATTAAAAACACAGTCTTCTCTGCATGTCTAATATCTGTGACACGTGTTGAGATTTCTGCCTACAAAGATTTGCTGTCAGATATTGAGAAGTGTTATGTTAAAGGACAATTTGTGCAAAAACTGAGGATTGAAAGCAATGCTTATTAAGAATTCATCTCGAAGCTCGACAACATGATTTACATGATTAAATCCTCTTCAGGGTGATAAATGACGACTTCTCACCCTGTAATGTAATATGATGATCGCCCTTTATACTGTGTGAGAAAGTGTTATATTATGCAAAATTAAATAACTTACATTTATGTTGTTATGGTACAAAAAGTATTAAATTATTAAAATATTATCTGGAACATAATGACTTTATATTAAGTCTTTTTTTAACAATTTAATACAAATTCATTGCATACATTTTTCAACACACATTTTTTATTAAATGTTTTTTAATTTAATTAAAATTTGTATATATATATCAGTTGAAATAGTGTGTATATGTATATTTATATATATTTATATATATATATATATATACACACACACACATTCATTCTTTATAGTTCCATATATTTACAGTTTACTATGACAGTTCTAAAAAAAAAAAAAACACTTTTGGTAAAGCCATTTTCTACCGGCCCCAGTTTAAAACCCCTGCACTGCGCGAGAATCTTTCTCATCTCAACTATTGAACTTTCTCATCAAAGTGAATAAATCCCAAGAGATGGTGTCCTAAGCGATCGCCTGTGTAGCGTAATGGTTTGACTGGCTCTGCTGTCGGGTTTATTTTGCTATAATGACTGGCTAACTGTTTGCTATCCCTTACATATTTTGTTTGATCATATTTTCCCTGCCGAAAGGACATTTCCTAGCATTCTTTGATTTTGTGATTGTGTGTTTGTGTTTACAACATTTAGTAACCTTACACCTTTAGTAACCTGTATTTTTGACACCATTGCTGCAATGTTCTAAATCTACTGCTGAGCAGAGACATTTTTGAAGGCAACACACCTGTGCAAAGCCTAACATGGTATCGAATCCAATTGTGCATGCAACACAGAATTAGCTCATGGAGTGATTCAGTGTAGTAATTACCAAAAGGGATTTAAAGCACATTGACATTGATCAAACTGCCATTTTCCCACATAAAATGTTCCCGGCATGTGACGTGCATGAGGCTCATTACAATGGATTATCCCTTGGATAGTTTCCCTGGCAAACAAAATAACTGCCAATCAACTCAATGGTCTGTAATCCATTGTGCCAACCTATTGAAAATGACTAGAGGGGGTTAGCGGGTTCAAATCCACCTCAGTATTTGTTTTGTATGCAGCAAGTGCTAAACCTTTAGGTATTTGCTTTTTTTCTCATCCTTGACATTAGAGAGTGTACAATATTATAGTATGAAATCGAAGTTTATAGTTGGCTCAGAACATATCATGGGTCAGACTTGAACCTTGGTTATCCACATGAGCACCAAGACTCAATGCATCTTGTGATTGCATGCACAAATCGCCTCACCCTATTAACATTTAGATGGTTCCTTTAAAGGAATAGTTAACCCAAAATGAAAATTTCATGATTATTTACTCACCCCCCTAAACCATCAAAGATGTGTATGACTTTCATTCTTGAGCCAAAGAGGAATTAATATTTTGGAAATTGGAGGGAAATATTCGAGGATTTTTCTCCATCTAATGCAAGTGAACAGGGCTCAATGTAGACCATTTTTGATGGTCCCAAATCTATATTTAGGCATCATTAACATAATCCACACAACCCCAGCCTACAATTTAGGTTCTTCTCTAGCGAAACAGTCATTCATTTTCTGAAAAAATAAATAAATTACATAATTCAAATGCTCGCCTTCATCCAGCTCAATTTATTTCACGACCTCTCATGTGAAGTATGCATGTTGGGAAGGTCACGCGTGACATAAGCGGCAAGAACTGGCCCATTATTTACAGGAGGAACATGCAAAAACTACATGTTAAGGTAATTAAAATATCAATTAAGCCTTAAATATCAAGATGTGGTCATAATTACTGCTGTTCGGCAAATTTTCACAGGCAAAATCCAGCAAGAACCACGCAATTGTTAAAAATTTCTCTCCGCATTGACCAACTGAAAGCTGCTTGGTTTAAAAGTTACATTCTTAGGGTAACGTGTACACGAGAACAATGTACTAAAAATGGCAACGTTTTTTTTTCTCTTGTGTTTTTGAAACGTTTTACGCATAGACGACAACAGTATCAAAATACAAATACATCTAAAAATGCTGTATTATGCTTGCACAAACACAGTCCTGTAGTCTGCCATTTTTGTTTAGGTTGTCAAGTACTTGTGTATACCTATAGAGCGAAATAATACACATATGCATGATGTCACTGTTTTCACAAATGTGTGTTTTTGTACACAAAGATGATAACTGCATAGTTTTCAAAAATTTGCTCTTTGAAACCTATTTTCAAAAGTTTGTGTTTTAAGGCTCCCAAAATGCCATTGTCACGTAAACGAACAGCTATAATGCATAAAACATTTTTAGAAAATGGTGTAGTGTAAACATCCCCTTAGGAATGACAAACATGGTTGAGCATTGAACTTTTTCAAAACACCTCACCCTTAGGGTGCAGTCACATTCATTGTTGTTCAATAATGTTTTGCAGGTAAAATGCACACGATCAGGAAAAATTTTTGAAACGTTTTACGCATAGACGACAACATTATCAAAATACAAATACATCTAAAAATGCTGTATTATGCTTGCACAAACACAGTCCTGTAGTCTGCCATTTTTGTTTAGGTTGTCAAGTACTTGTGTATACCTATAGAGCGAAATAATACACATGTGCATGATGTCACTGTTTTCACAAATGTGTGTTTTTGTACACAAAGATGATAACTGCATAGTTTTCAAAAATTTGCTCTTTGAAACCTATTTTCAAAAGTTTGTGTTTTAAGGCTCCCAAAATGCCATTGTCACGTAAACGAACAGCTATAATGCATAAAACATTTTTAGAAAATGGTGATGGAACAACAACAACAAACTACTGGAGATGGCAAGAACAACAGATGCCTACATTGACAAGACACTGTGTGAGGGGGGTTGAAAGATAAACTCAACATTTTTATTGCTCATAATAAGGCTATGCGACTTACTGTAGCTAAGCGTTTACTTCAAAGCTGAAGTATTCTTTGGGCTTAAGAAAGAGTAGACTAATCATAGGTGCTTTTTTAAGCAGCTAGCACTATGTTAAAATGGTAGGACATGCTGTTAGCTTGCTAATGGCTAACTGAAAACACAAAGAGAGGGAAATGTTTAACTGAACCATTTTTAGCTTCTAGAATCTTCTCACTCAGTTTGTTTCTGCCACGCTGTATGATGTGATATACAGTATATGGAGCCGCTAAAGGGACATGGTAATGA